GGAAGGAAGGTTGGGCAATCCTACTTCCGTAGTGATACTGCCTTGGAAACCCAAGGAGGGGTCGCTATGAGTCAGGTTTGACTCGACGGCACATAACAACAACAACAACAACCACTTGGGAATCTCCAAGCTGTGTGTACCGTGCCATCAGGACCACTCAGGATTGCTGCCAGACTGCAGCTCCGTCTGTCTCCTTTTTTGGTATTTTCATGCAAATTCTTCTGCTAGTTGGAGTTTAGTCCACTTCTATATCCTTCCCTTCAAGGCTCAGGGGTCCAGGATTATCTTCTGTGTCTGTGTTAATTGGTTTCCTTTTTCTTTGTTGAAGAGGGTCTGTGCAGTCTTTCTGCCTAGTCTGACATCTTACTGGAACTCTCTCTCATCATCCACCAGGGCTCCTCTTAAGGGACATACTACTGATTATTCTAGAAATGAGACTTGTGTTTAGGGTGCAGGTAAGGCCTTTGGCTGTTAATTAGAAGGTTGGCAGTTCAAACCCACCAGCTGCTCTGTGGAGGAAGATGAGGCAATCTACTTCCATAAAAATTTATAGCTTTGGAAACCCGATGGGGGTTTCTATGAGTTGGAATCAACTCAATGGCGGTGGGTCAGGGGGCCCTCTGGGGATCAGAGAAGCCAGAGAGATGAGTGAGGCCTTCTGTTGGATCACCTCTGTCATCTAAGGTTGCTAACCCATTGTGTGCCAATGGCAGGGGGCAGCCACCAATGGCAAAAAACAAAGTTTAGACTTCTGATGCTGAACTGCCCTTAAGTATCACAAAGCCTCAGATTTTTTGCTCCATCTTAAGACATTCAAGGGGAGTTAAAAGGACTCTTTTCTGTGAAAAACAAAACAAAGCAAAACTTATTCTTCAGGTGGTAGAACACGAGACTGAGTATTGATCAATGACTTAGATTGATGACTATTGACAATTTGTTTTTTAAAAAAACATCCTTGGTCATACTAAGAACATTTATTGACATTCTAGGTCTGCAATCTAGATTGTATATATTGTTTAAATTAAGAGAGTGGTATAATAATAAAAATTCATGTTTAACTGTAGCAACAATGTTCTGTGCGTGTTTTAAATCATAATAAATTTGATTAAAAATACTGAATTTTTTTTTTTCTTCTCCCTTATAAAAGTTACTGGAAACCTGGCCTTTTAACTCTTAAGGCAGGTTTCTTAGCCTTGGCACTATTCACACCTTGGGCTGGATGTTTCCTTTTTGGGGGTTGACCTGTGCATTGTAGGATGCTCAGCAGCATCCTTGGCCTCTTACCCACTAGATGCCTGTAGTACCCTCCACCCCAGATGTGACAACCAAAGATGTCCCCAAATATTGATAAATGTTCTCTGGGGGCAAAATTATTGGGCTGAGAACCACTGTCCTAAGGCCATAGCTGCAGCAGAATCATCCCCCTGAAGACCGTGTACACACAGAAAGCACTCAGTCCTAACAGAAAATAAGCTGCCTCTGGAATGCTGGCCTCTCAGACCACAAACCTGGCATATGTCATGTAAGTGGTGCCATCAATAGAGTCAGAAGACTCATGGTTAGTAGAATTAGGGCAACAGCAGTTATAAAAGATGGGCTAACTGTATTCAATCCATAGAGGACATACAGCAGAATCCTTGGGAGATTTCACAAGATGGACTTAAATGTCTCCTTTTTCCTTACATCCTCCCAGGACTCATGAGGATTCTGGTACACAATTATGGTACCACCTGCATCCTCTTAGAAAAATGGCTACTTCAGAATCTGATATGGCTAAGTACTCCTAACATCTTACACGTTTTTAAAAGTATAAAACCTATTTTATTATTTTCTGATTATAAAATGAATGCATATTGATATTTAAAGATCTGGAAAATTCCAAAATCTAAGAAGAAAGAAAAAGAAAGCACCACCATCCCCAATAACCCTATCGCTCAAGGGCAACTGTGGTCTATGCCCCTTCCTCTGGGTTGCCGTTGTTAATTGCTGTGAAGTTGATTCTGACCCAGGTGACCCCGTGTGTTACAGAGGGCAATTGCTCCACAGGGTTTTATTGGCTGTAATCTTAATGGAAGCAGATCACCGTTTCTTCTGCAGTACCTGCTGGGTGGGTTTGTACCCACTTTTAGGCTAGGAGTAACTCACAAACCGTGTGCACCATATAGGGACCTTTCCTGAGGGGCATTAAATTCATTTATAAATCATTCCAGAGTTGGCATCTTCCATGAGCCAAGTGTTCTTGTTCTGCATCTTTGTAAAAGCAATCAAATAATGTTTAGGTTCTTGGAGTTTTGTCTTCATTGCTGGTATTTATTTGCAGCTCTTGTGTCAGAGTTTGAGAAAAGACCTTACCTCAGCATGTAGGCTGTGGTGGGCAGAAGGACAGCGGCACACCTGGCTGTTGCCATGGCACTGATGCCTTCATCACTCACTTCTTCCAAGTGACTGATTGCCTGGGCACCCAGTTCAGCCCCGAGCTAAGCAGAATGTGCAGACAATGGAAAAATTTGACAAATGACAACAACAAATCAATAAAGAACCATACAATTGCCACTCTCTTAAGATTTCTTGCCAACTACCTTTTGGCAAGCACAAGTTTCCAAATGGGTAAATAGTTTGTAATAGGCATCCAATTGAAAATCAGCTAACATGCCACTTCAAAAACTATTCTTAAGCAAACATGCTTTCTGCTATGCTTCAGATGTGTTTTCTGAAACAGGAAATTCATAAGATCAGAATAAAACTGAGTAATATTGTTAATAAAATCTAATGATTATAGCATTATAAAAGCACAATAAAGAAAGGTATCTTGGAATGCCATTACATTCAGTGAAAATAGTTCTGTTAAAAAAAAAAATTGAAGTTTGGAATCATTGGTATAATTTGAGAATATCTACTAGAGCTTAAATTTTCTCCAGATGAAAAGTTTGGGCTAGATCATTAGAAGAAAAACAAGAGGAGGTCATGTGATGATGATAATGGATACACACATTAAAGTAGATTTCTTCTCATCTTGGTCTCATCGTATACTTTATCCCTAACTGGACAAATTTTCATGCACACACACACACAAGTGTCCCAGGCTGAAAGGTGATATGTTAAGCCTTCCTAGGAAAGGAAAAGACCTATCTATGACATTCCACTGTGACCCAGGGAGGCTGCAACACCCCAGATAGAGCAGGAAACACCTGACCCCCTCATCAGAGGCTTGCTGAAGTCTAAGAGTATTTTGGGTCAGGTTGCTGGGAAGCCTACCCTCCACAGGACAGACTATGCTCCCCCGGGTTAGTTTCCTTCTGACCTTGGAATCACAAAGATGGCAAGCCCTTACTTTCCCAAATTTGGCTGAACTTATTCTAGGTCTTGACTACCATTGATTTAATCCACCAGTCACCCTCTGTGACCAGGAGTGGCTTGTTGACCAACCCAGTTTACATTCTACAAACATTCAACAAATATTTACTCACTAAGCACCATCTATACAAAAGGCACTGTGCTAACCTCTGGGATGGTGAAGTGCAAGACATGGTCGCAAACCTCTGTGTGTTTACAGTCCAGTAGGAATCATGGAGGCAATTGTAACACAGTGTGATAAGTACAGGGAGGGGTCATCACCACTCTTCCCAGAAACAGTGGTAGAGTTAGAGTTAGCCAGACAAAAGGGGAATGTTCAGATTAGAAATAGCATGTCCAAAGGCATGGAGCAGTAGGGCTGCTGAATGTAGTTTATTGTGGTTGATTCATGGTAGAGAGGGTAGAGGAGAAAGGGAGAGAGAGAGAGAAGATAGAGAGGTAAGCAAGGGTTAGATTCTGGTCTGGTCCTTGGAATTTATCCCAAGAGCAATAGTAAGACTTTATGTGATTTTAACAATAGTGAATATACCATGGGCTGCCAGAAGAAGAAACGAATCTGTCCTGGGGGAAGTACACCCAGAATGCTCCTTAGAAGCAAGAACGGCCAGACTTCATCTTGCTTACTTTGGACAGGTCATCAGGAGAGACCAACTGCTGGAGAAGGGTATCATGCTTGGTAAAGCAGAAAGTCACTGGAAAAGAGGATGACTTTCAATAGATTGACTCTGTGGCTACATCAACAGTCTCAAACATAGCAAAACTTGTAAGGATAGCACAGGACCAGGCAACATTTTGTTCTGCATATGTAAGGTCACAAGGCATCAGAGCCAACTCAAGGGCACCTAACAAAGCAACAAAGTAAAGGAGGAAAAAGACAAGACGCACTGAGGGAATGGATTAAAGTGGAGGCAAGGAAATACGTTCTTGCAGGAATCTAGGTGAGCACTCCTAGTAGTTTGAACCAGGCAACAGAGTAAAGAGAAGCAGATCTAGAGATATGTAAGAGAACTGGGAGGACTTGGTGGTTGACTGAAGTGTGGTGGGTGAAGGAAATGAACCCCAGGATTTTCACATAACCAATAGACACATGATGGTGCCATTTATTAGGGCAGGAAATCCAATAGAAGTAGATTTGAAAGTAATATTAAGAGATCCAATTGGCCTTCTTGGGTTGTGTGGTGTCCACATCTGTATTTATGCCGAGGGCAGTTGTTTATATAAGGAAGATGCCTAGATTCATAACTTTGACTGGTTCTCTACTGAATGCTCAATGCCTAGAACACTGCCTGGAACACACTCGTTGTTGTCAGGTGCTGCTGAGTCCATTTTGATTCGTAGTGACCACATGTGACAGAGTACAACTGCTCCATAGGGTTTTCTAGGCTGTGATCTTTATGGCAGCAGATTGTCAAATCTTTCTTCCATGGAGCTGCTGGGTAGGTTCGAACTTTCAACCTTTCAATTAAGTCTAGTGCTTAACTGTT